ATAGACAGACAGATAGACAGACAGATAGACAGACAGATAGACAGATAGACAGATAGACAGATAGACAGAGAGAGAGAGAGAGAGAGAGAGAGAGAGAGAGAGAGAGAGCGAGAGCCAGAGCGAGCGAGCGAGCGAGCGAGCGAGGGAGGGAGGGAGGGAGAGAGAGACAGAGAGAGAGAGAGAGAGAGAGAGAGAGAGAGAAAAAAAGAGAGAGAGAGAGAGAGAGAGAGAGGGAGGGAGAGCGAGAGAGAGAGAGCGAGAGAGTGCACGGATGCGCTGCATGACTGTCACCTTTCAGTTGCAAATCTCATCCTGGAGACCGTCAATCGGAATCAGGCGCTGCTACAAGCTGGCTCCAGTTGCTCCGTGAAGTGACGCGTTGAATCTTTCGTGTCGTCCTTGGACTGCTCTGCGGTACCAGGCAACAGGAGTGCTAACTGTGAAACAAAGTTTCTGCAGAATGAACACCTTTTGGGTCTCCTTTCCTGCATGGCTTAGGCTGAGTGGTCTTATCGTCAAACTGGAAGTCAATGCTTTTGCCAACATTCGCCAACCAGCTAGTTCCGTGACTAGTTTTGTATGAGAACCAAGACGAAAAAGATCGCTGGTTCCTGATGTCTTGTTCGTTGTTTCGGGTCACCTGGCGGAGGGTTCGGAGCAGTGTTCTGTGAGGTACTGCAAGGTTGATGATGAGGGGTGCATCACCAACGGCAACTACCCGAAAAGCGACAACGCCATTTGTGGAATATTCGTGGAGGAGTCGAACGAGCGACGCCTCTTCTGGGAAAGACGAGCGGAGCGGGCTCCATTGCTCATCAACGGAGAGGAATTCAATGGCAATGACCGCACTTTTGGGCCTGTGCCGGAAGGCTTCATTCTTCGCCGCGCAGGTTCCAGCCATTCCAGCCCTGATTCCTTCAAGATCTGTCTCGAGGTGAGGCGCTGCAGGTGACCGGTTGCGGAAGGTTGATCCAATGCCCCACAAGTTGCAGGTTTGGTTTCTCGAGCAGCGGTGGTTCTGGGCCTCGGTGCACTTGGGCTGCAGATGTCCGTATCTGTTCCGAGCATTCTCATGCTTGTTTGCCTGTGTGGAGCACGCGTCTGAAACTGCAAAGTTGGGAAGCTCGTTGAGTTCTAGTCTTGGGCCGCCCCTGTCGACTAGCATCCCAAGGTCAAGCAGCTTAATTGGAAGCTCCTGTTGCCTCTTCTGCTTCTACTGGCTGCGCCGGAGAGCTCGGCAACAGGCATCCATGTTGGTAGCATGTGTTTCGGTAAGTTCCGGCGACGGTTATGCAGCGAGACCGCTTGTTCTCGCGGAAATCTGCATTCGAGTACACTTACATTGAAATGCAACTGGAAGCAGCTTGTGAGGTTAAGGTTGCAAGACACAGCAGAGGCGCAAGCTTTGTGTTGCAGGCCCAAAGAAAATGGGAAGAGAAGCATGGACACCTCTACGATAAGTGGTACAGCCACTACCGACATGCGATGTATTCCATCATACAATCCGCTTTCGACGAAGGTGCACCAGGACTGTCCAAACCGCATGTTCGTGCAGGGTCGCCACGTGCTCACTCGCTCGCGCGCGAGCGTGCCCGTGCTCCAGCGCCACTCTGCAGTTTTTGTCAAGGAGTCAAGCCGTGGATCATAAAGCGGCCCACCCAGCTTGACTTGGGGCGCGCTTATCTTTTCAAAGCGGCTGGAAAGCTGCAAGTAGACATGTCGGCGACTTATCTGGTCGGAACGACGTGACATCACCACCATATAAATATGAAGTCGGCCATGAGCAGGCGCAGCCTGCTCACAGCGAAGGTCGGAAGCCTTTGAATCGCAGAAGCACCCCTTCTACGTTGACGGGAAGAAGGTCCTTGACTACACCAAGATCAACTGGGCATCGCAGATTTCCCTGAAAGCTCTGGGTCCGGTCCCTGTTGGCGCCGCATTCTCACGAAGTGCAACAGCATCTCCTGCTCTTTGCAAGGCGAAGAGATCAAGAACAAAACGGCAGACGGCTGTGCTGTGATCATTGCTGCATGCGACGTGAAGGATGTCGGTGAGGTGAAGAGGGTGGTCCGAGCACACAACAGGGCAAAAGAACTGCAAGGATCCCACGGGCGAGCGTGCGCCTCACTTGCCTCGCGGGGTTTCAAAAGTGCCGCACCTATAGACTGTAAGCCAGCCCATGCCGCTGAAAAAGTCCTAAACCGAAACCGAGGCAAAGTTTGCGTTCATGCCGCTTTTCGACGAGCTCCCAAAACGTGAGGGCGAGGCGCATCAGGGTCCCTCACCGGAACAAGTCAGCGACTGTTGTGACCGAGTCCGGGGCTAAACCTGACCAGGGCGTGAAGCGGTGCGGGTGGTACTCGTTCTACCGCTTCTCGGTGATGGCCAAAATGCAGATAGCCGTGGATGAGGGGGCCACCAGACGCTTGTATTGCATTTTGGATTTGAAGGTGTTTTGCTGTGCATGGCTTGTGCGGTTGGGGATGGGCTGCAGCATGCTGCAGCGGCTTTGAGAGTCCATGCTCAGAATAGGGAATGTGATTTCATGAGTGCTAGAAACATGTCCAGCCTGGGCTTCACATTGCAGACTCTTCCCACTGCGCGCACCTACAACACTGGAGCTGCGGCTGCCTTTATCCGCCTCGTTACCCGGGGCAGGGCCCTAACTAGGCCTATAAAGTCGAGAGGCTTCGCGTTGCCGGGCCGTGTGTGCTTATCGCAGGAGGAGGCGGCGAAGCGACCGAATGAATTTGCGGCGGTTCCGTTGTGCGGCGGAGCGTGAACACGTCGGGCTGGCAGGGGTGAACACAAATCAGGCGTTGCTTTTTGCACAGGTTCGGATGAAGGAGAGCCTTTCTCTGTTGAAGTATATTTCACTGCTCCTGCATCTAGACCGCTGTACCGAAGGACTGAAGCTGTTGGGCATCCAGCCAGATGTGGGCAATGCCATGACGGTGCAAGAGTATCCCGCTCTGGAGGAGGATCTGCCCAAGCCCCAGTCCATGCATGCGGGCAA